CTCCTCATCCTCTCATCGACTCCTTCACTCTCCTCATCCTCTCATCATCCCCTTCACTCTCCTCATCCTCTCATCGTCCCCTTCATTTCCTCAAAATCTCTTCATCTCCTTCACTCTATTCATCCTCTCATCGTCTCCTTCACTCTCCTCATTTTCCCCATCATCTCTCTTTTCTCTCCTCATCCTCTCATCGACTCCTTCACTCTCCTCATCCTCTCATTGTCCCTTCACTCTCCTCGTCCTCTCATCGACTCCTTCACTCTCCTCATCCTCTCATCGACTCCTTCACTCATCTCATCCTCCCATCATCTCCTTTTCTCTCCTCATCCTCTCATCGACTCCTTTTCTCTCCTCACCTTCTCTTCATCTCCTTCACTCTCCTCATCCTCTCATCGACTCCTTCACTCTCCTCATCCTCCCATCATCTCCTTTTCTCTCCTCATCCTCTCATCGTCCCCTTCACTCTCCTCACCCTCCCGTCGACTCCTTCTCTCTCCTCATCTCCTTCACTCTCCTCATCCTCTCATCGTCTCCTTCACTCATCTCATCCTCTCATCGTCTCCTTCACTCTCCTCATCCTCTCATCATCTCCTTCACTCTCCTCATCCTCTCATCGTCCCCTTCACTCTCCTCATCCTCTCATCGACTCCTTCACTCTCCTCACCCTCTCGTCGACTCCTTCACTCTCCTCACCCTCTCATCAACTCCTTCACTCTCCTCATCCTCTCATCGACTCCTTCACTCATCTCATCCTCTCATCGTCTCCTTCACTCTATTCATCCTCTCATCGTCTCCTTCACTCTCCTCATTTTCCCATCATCTCCTTTTCTCTCCTCATCCTCTCATCGACTCCTTCACTCTCCTCATCCTCTCATTGTCCCCTTCACTCTCCTCATCCTCTCATCGTCCCCTTCAATTTCCTCAAAATCTCTTCATCTCCTTCACTCTCCTCATCCTCTCATTGTCCCCTTCACTCTCCTCATCCTCTCATCAACTCCATCACTCTCCTCATCCTCTCATTGTCCCCTTCAATTTCCTCAAAATCTCTTCATCTCCTTCACTCTCCTCATCCTCTCATCGACTCCTTCACTCTCCTCATCCTCTCATTGTCCCCTTCACTCTCCTCATCCTCTCATCGTCCCCTTCAATTTCCTCAAAATCTCTTCATCTCCTTCACTCTATTCATCCTCTCATCGTCTCCTTCACTCTCCTCATTTTCCCATCATCTCCTTTTCTCTCCTCATCCTCTCATCGACTCCTTCACTCTCCTCATCCTCTCATTGTCCCCTTCACTCTCCTCGTCCTCTCATCGACTCCTTCACTCTCCTCATCCTCTCATCGACTCCTTCACTCATCTCATCCTCCATCATCTCCTTTTCTCTCCTCATCCTCTCATCGACTCCTTTTCTCTCCTCACCTTCTCTTCATCTCCTTCACTCTCCTCATCCTCTCATCGACTCCTTCACTCTCCTCATCCTCCCATCATCTCCTTTTCTCTCCTCATCCTCTCATCGTCCCTTCATCTCCTCACCCTCTCTCTCGACTCCTTCACTCTCCTCTCTCCTTCACTCTCCTCATCCTCTCTCATCTCTCTTCACTCTCTCATCCTCTCATCCTCTCCTTCATCTCCTCATCCTCTCATCTCCTCCTTCATCTCCTCCCTTCATCTCCTCTCCTCATCCTCTCATCGTCTCCTTCGCTCTCCTCATCATTTCATCGTCTCCTTCACTCTCCTCATCCTCACCTCTACCACCTCCAGTGTCCAGGTCCCGAGGGAAAGATATTCCTAAACATCATCTAATCTCAGACGGGGTCCAAGTGTCAAAAATAACTCATTCAATAAAACTACTAATACTTTTGTTTTTGCGTCTCTCCAGTAAAAAAAAAAAATTCTAGACAAATACTTTTGACATCAGGCACTGTATTGAAAAAGATGGTAAATTAGAAAAAAATCTCCATGGTAAAAAGCAAATGCCCAAGTTACAGGTTGGATCTAGAGTTCTACTTAGAGTAAGAAGGCTTGTTTTTGTATTATTGTATGGTGTATGGTCTGGTTCCAGTCCCTTCTGGACAGAATGTAGAAGGGACTGGCTGGTAAGGCTAGCAGGTTGGTAGTCTGGCCCAGGGCAGCTGTGGCTACTAATGTTGTAATCAAGACCGCACTAATCGAGACCAAGACCCCTCCGAGAGTAGCCTGATTTATCAGCCGGTTTCACTTCGTAGAAACCGTCTGACCTCGCAGCATTAGGGTTTGTTTGCTCGACGATAGGTACTTTTTTCATTTAACCAATCGCTGCTATTTGGTCACGATGTGTGTAATGCACTGCTAACGGGACTAACTGGTATATTAAGCTTTTCCCAAATCCCGTAGGAAGCAGTAGGGCAATAACGTCTTTCCCCTTGAAAAAAAAATCACCAAACATTCTCTTTGTTCCGGCTTTAAATCCTCGATCTCAGGAATCGTTGCCAGCACAGAATGTATGGTCTGTGCTGATTGCGAGTTTGGGCACCAGCCACTTCCGGGATTTTTGCCAACCGTCTACTGTATTCCCATTCCTGACCTAGTCGCCGGAGAGAAATGAAACTGAGCCGAGGCACTAGGTGGCGCCAGCCTGGCTAGTCCGAGACCACACCGAGACAAAACCGAGGCCGAAATCGAGACAGGACAGCCCATCAAGACCAAATCAAGACCATGTTTGTAATTTTTGTCATTTATTTGTATTTTACAGTTATTTTGTTACATATATATCAATGTTTTTATAGATTTACCTCCATTTTATCACTCAGTATCAGACCTCGAGACCAAGACAAGACCAAGTCCAAATGCAGTCGAGTCTGAGACAAGACCAAGACTCCAATATTATCTTGAGGCCGATCTCAAGACCAAGAGCGGTCTCGAGTAATATAACACATACAATACTCGTTTAACACCCCTGAGCGTGGAGTGAATGAATAATGCAAGGCAAAGCTTTTTGAGTGTTTCAAAGAGCACTATATAAATCCAGTGCATTATTATTATTATTATTTTTTTTATTGGTATTAGTATTATTTAAAACATCGTCTAACATGTTTCTTATGACGAGTACATGACCTTTGTGGAAGTTCACTCACTTGTTGCAGTGCTGTTTGAGGTGCTTCTTGTAGCTCTCGTCCTGCAGCACCAGCTCAGGGTTACAGTGGGACAGCCAGTCTGCGTTCTCCACCTCCGCTCCCCCCTGGCTCTTCAGCTTCTTCCCCTTCCTGCCACGAGGAACCGGTGCCGCCAAACCTGGAGCAAACACAGTCAGATAAGACCAAAAGTTACTCTGTGTACAGGTTTAGTCTTCGTAATATTAAGCAAAAATGACACATGTTTCAGGTTTAAGCCACGTTATAACGTTCTCCTCAACAAAAACATACCTGAACCTGTGTTTTGTTTACGTTGGTTGCTAAAGACACGTACGTATTTTAATATAGATCAGAAAATATCGTAATATGGGCCCGTTAAGTTCCAATGTAGCATTAATTTTGAAGCTATTGTGGTGGGTCAGGATTTCAGAAATATTTCAGACCAATTGTGAAGAGATAAGAAAAAGCAATACTGGCTACGGTTACATGCAGAGGCAAAATCTCATTATTATCAGATTTCTTGAGCTAAAAGATTATTAAAATGAAATGTAAATAGCAAAATCATCTGGTTTCTTTCTGATCATGGTCCCTCTGATTACTCATATCAGATTGTGTAGTTTGCATGTTTTGGGAGTAATTTCAAAGGTCTAGAAATCAGATATTAATCAGATTTTGGTGAGCTTATAACTGCAGCCACTGTTAGACTCTTGAATCTTTTAAGGGCCCATTTTACTTTACTTGCATTTACATATTACTCTATTTTCTGATATATGGATTTGGATTTCAGACCTGGAATTGCCTAGCCTGATTCATCACCTGGTTTCACTTCATGGAAACAGCATTAGGATTCATTCGCTTGACAGTAGGCAGGTAGTTTTTTATTTAACCAATCGCTGCTCTTTGGTCGTGACGTATATAATGCGCCAAATCCCGTAGGAAGAAGGGCAATAACGTCTTTCCCCTTAATTCACCAAACATCAACAATCCTTGATCTCGCGCTTGAGTTTGACGTCATGGCTTCACAGCTCTTCACTGATTGGCCAGTCTACAACTTCCGAGGTTCTTGCAAACCATCTACTGTATTCCGATTCCTGACCTAGTCGCTTGAGAGAAATGAAACTGAGTGAAGACACTAGGTGATGCAAGCCTGAATTGCCTACCTCTAAAGGTAAAAGTAGCTGTTAACTTGAAAACTAACACTACATGACATCACGAGGTGGCATCACGCATTTTGAGCTTCAGAGATGTAGACGGACTAATAAAGCAGGATTACTCAAACGTGTGTGAATGAAACAAAACAAAACGCCAGGTATGTTTTTGATTAAACAATATTATAACTAGGGGTGTCAAATTATCGCGTTAATTGCGATTAATTAATTACAGTCATATTTAGCACGTTATGTTTTTTAATCGCGTTAATCTCATTTTTAATCTCTAACTTTACTGTTTCTGAGAGGGAGTTGCTTTATTATAAAACCTGTTTTTAACACACACACACACACACAAAAAACACATTTATAATTTTTTTTATTTCGGTAATTCCACTCATTGCCGGAAACCCACACAAAACGCGCGCAGTAACAGCGATGTAAACGTCTGTCGCACAATGGACGAAGTCGAAGAGCCAGTAGAACAGAGTCAGCAGTGCACAGGTAAAAACACATTCGTGTCTTGGAAATTATTCTCCCGACGTGAAATATAAAAGAAAATAACAAATATAAAATCGCCTACAACTTAAATGTCACTGGTGAAAACAACCTGCATAGGCTCATGATGTCTGCACTACTGTCCTATAGTGACCTGCCACATGAGGGGACACGCACACACAAAACACACACAAACACACACAAACACACACACAACACACAAACACCTTCATCATCGTCATTAACCTGAGAACGCGCGGACATCGCTGTCCTCCCGTGAGCCGCGTGTGGATCGTGTTTTCTCGCGTACGCGGCGTAAACCGCGCTTCCTCCTGTGAGCCTCTAAACCAGAACTAACACCAAGACTAAAATCAGGACTAATCCAGTCCAGGACTAAACCAGGACTAAACCAGAACTAAAACCAGAACTAAAACCAGAACTAAAACCAGAACTAAAACCAGAACTAAAACCAGGTCTAAACCAGGTCTAAACCAGGACTAAACCAGAACTAACACCAGGACTAAAACAGGATTAATCCATTCCAGGACTAAACTAGGACTAAAGCAGGTCTAAACCAGGTCTAAACCAGGACTAAAACCAGTGATCTCATATATAAAGCATTTCTCTATCAACAATATTTTTAATATGGTTAAGGAAAGACTGGACTTTTTATTGTCTTTAAGTCGACAAAAGTTATTATGTTCAGATTTCCTCGTCTTTGCTACTTTACAGCAAACAGTTTCTTATTCATGGAGACTTGGGCTCAACAGCCAATTTGGAGAGATTTGTTAAACAATAAATGACTTTATAAAGTCACTTTTTTTAATCTATATCAGTCTTTTGATCTGCCACAATAATGTAATAATGAATTTAAATGAAAATACCTCAAATTGAAGGCTTTTCTCAGCAATTTTTAGGTGAGATTAAAATGAGATTAATTAGATTAATTAATTACAGATCATAATTAATTAATCTCTAAATTTTTTTAATCGCATGACAGCACTAATTATAACACCATAACACTATAACTTAAAGCTCACAAGATTCAATTTTACGTAATATCGGACCTTTAACAATGAAATCTTAACTTCTGCACTAACCCAAGGAATCGCATGGTCCAATAAAACCCAATAAAGAACGGATATACATACAGTAGTTCTCTCAAGACATTTTACAATCTAAATAATTCAGACTGATTTAAATTCAGTTCTGTCCTACATCTGAATCTCTGTTTTCTGGATTGAATTATTTTATATTAGTATTGTAGTGTTTCTGACCAGAGTGGTTGAGCAGGGTCTGATCCTCTTGTCCATCTTTGGTGGGAGCGATCAGGTCCCAGATGAAGCTCTTGATCTTGTCGTCTCCTTTGTAGTGTCTGAGGCAGTAAACCAGCAGAGCCCTGGGACCAAACAGAGTACATGTGTTTACATATGGAGAAAATGGGGTAAAAGCGCTGAATATGGGTCAAATGAAGACTTGAGTTCATGGCTTTTTAAAGGTGCACTGTGTATCTTTTCTGGTGGAGGGTCCGCCATCTCCTTGTCTCCATGGAGATGTTGTAGCCTTGTGTGGAATGTCCCAGTATGGCATTAAAAGTATCCATCTTTCATTTATACAGTAAGATAGGTTTTTATTGACTTCAAAACTTGCATTCTCACACACAGATTTGACATGTAACTTGGCCCTGCATCGTCTCCATAGAGATAAATAACTGTAACGACGGCAACATATCCATGGAGAAAAGCAGGTGACGGAGCCTCCACCAAAAGTTACACAGTGCACCTTTAAATAAATAGCGACGCAATTTAATAAATGTAAGGTAGAGCTGTTTAATGTCTTGACATCTCCATAGAAACAAGTAGGTGATGGACCCCCACTTAAGAAGATACATAGTGCAGCTTTAACTCACTGGCCTGTTTTATGTGATTTTATTTCAGCTACATCTCCATCCCCGTTGTTTTCGAGTGCATAAAATAGTTCCTTTACTCACCGGCAGATCACCTCCATGTCTCTCTCTGCAAGATGCCATTTGAATCGCCCGTGGTTCAGGATGTCCTTCCACCGACCCCAGCTGGAAAAAACAAAACAGGAAGTAGGTCACAGAGAGATCCGGCGTGTACAATAACTGCCTGATAAATCTAGAACGCTTCAATGTGGGCACTATTTTCAGAGAAGAAGCTACACGAGATATTCCTTCCACTCAAAGTCACATTTTTTAAAGGTTTATTATTACGCAAAATTGACTCATGTGACCTTTGGTTTTGTTTCATTCAAACATGTTTGAGTAACCCCTTTTTATTAGTCTTTTTATTAGCTCAAAATGTTCTGTTCCACCTTGTGATGTCATGAGGTGGTAGTTTTGGTGATTCTAGTGAAGGTGTATGGAGTTTAAAAACACAGTGGAGCACTTGCTGTATTACCACATGACATCACAAAGTGGAACAGAGTGTTTTGCACTCATGCAGGGCTGCTGAAAGTCCGTGTACCATTTGTTCTTTTGAATTTCAATTAAGAATTAAAAACAATAAATGAATAATGAAACAACAAACAATAACAGTTTGTTATTTCATTATACCATTTAAGTGTCAAACAAAAAACTGATTTTGATCTCTATTTCCAATCTTTAATTTAAAGTTCATTTCAAATAACACCAATCAAAAACCAGTCTCGGTGCCTATATCAATTTTGATATTTTATTCTCTCTGGTTTATTCGCCCCGGAAGTTCTCCTGCTTAGTGCACTGCGTGTGAATTCAGTGTCAACTGAACAAAGGAAATTCCTATTGACCTAAATACACACAAGCAGCATTTGCATTGAAATTGTACATAAAACACCTTTTACAGTATGACAACTAAGATGTAGTACTTAAATTTAAAAACATGAACCTCATGTCATAGTCAGAGCCTATCATTATATTTATTAGTTAACAAAAGAAGCAGAATTTTTACAACATGTAAACAACATTGTAAACAATGTTTATTTAAATCATTAGTTAGAAATCTTAGGAAAATTCTTTGGATAAGTAATTATTATTAACGGTACAGGACTTGTATACCCTTTGCTTCATTCTAAATATGACAATGACAATTTACAGTCTCTACTAAGTACCAAAGATAGTTTATGTGAAGCAAAGTTTTAAAAAGCAAAAAACAAATATAAGCCATATGAGTAGAAGCCTGGACAGATGAGACTGAGTGTAGCCTCCTATGTTCATTTGAAGCAGCATAACATCTGGGGCAGATAAACCAGAGAGAATAAAAAATCAAAAATGGAAAATATTGGAAATAGGTCCAAATCTTATTTTAATTTTTTATTTTTTTTTTGTATGGCACTAAAACGAAATAACAAAATAACAAACTGTTTTCCCATTGTATTGTTTTTCGTTCTTAATTGAAATTCAAAAGAACGAATGTTACTCAGACCTCCAAAAACAATATTTTAACAAGTTTTATAAATTTCAGTTTTGTTTTTGACGATGTGAGTCTCCACTCCCTTTGGTCTCTGCGCTAAGTCACTCCCCCTTCAGAGCCCTATCACACACAATCAACGTGCATCCTGCTAATGAAAATACTGCACATCTCATCAGGTTTGTCAAGCTGCTGAGCACAGTTTTTGACCATGTTTTCGTTTATTTTTTGTATAAATGACCTAAAGATCGCTAAATTACTCAAACATGCATGGATGACATCTAAAAACCTCTTCAGGCTTATATTACACTATGTCATCTATAATCGCATGTTAACTCTTTCCCCCCTGGACGCCTACTAGGTACAACCCATACATATGTTACTAGTTCTACCCATAGAGCATAATTGCATAAAAGAAAACAGACTTCCACGAGTGATTATAAATGATTTTTACACTCATGAACTTAATTGTAACACAGACATATTTGGTATCTCTGGAAACCTTAGACTCTGAACTATTCATTTATGGATGTTTACATGTGATTCAACTCATTTATAGGTGTATAACAGCTCACTGAAAATGAGAGTTTACCTGGTCAGGTGCAAACTCGAAAACAAAAAACTACATTCAGCATCTGATATCTGCATGTTCTGAGTACTATATTCATAAAAAACTAAAAAATATACTTTGTCAAAGTATTTAAACAGATTTCATATCACCAGATACAGTAGAGCCAAGTGTGCACCTGTTTTTACCTGTTGTACACCTGTGTGCACCCAATTAATTTTTTTCCATTTAACTTATTCAACTCATTTAGCTTATTCAACTAATTTAGCATATTATAATATAATAATATAATAATATAATAATAAAACTCTTCCCCGTCAGTGTGTGTCCAGTATTTGTCATCTTGGCTATTTTCTCGTGTGCAGAGCTCCGCATAAGCGTTTTTTTCTGTAGCGATTCTGTTATACATCGCATCTTGGAAAAAAAGACTGAAATATTTTAAAGGACTGGCCTGGGCAACATCCAGATTTCAGGGCAATTTTGGTTCATAATCGAGTATAAAGCTCAGATAGTTTGTTCGGATATCGCAGGACTCCACACAGACGCATCAGCGGAATTCTCATCTTCTCCCCGAAAGTCCGTCGCTGTCGCTGTTTTCCACTTTATAATCAACTTCAACATCATCACTTTGAAATCTATAAAAGTCACTTTCTCTAAACTTATCCATAAAATACATCCGCTCCTCATTATTTCTAAAACTGTGCGCCGCAGCGCCGCGATCTTTCCATTGCACGTATTTCGTGTTGTGTTTTTTCCGGAAGCTACCATCGTCACTATTTCGATTAACTTCGGAAAAAATCTGCGAAAACATATCCTTGAATCCTATTGGTCAGTCTAGTGTGGGTTGTAGTGGCCCCGACCTATCACAGCCTCTGTTTAAATGTGGAAAAACCGAGCCGTTTCTAAAGGTCGTCAAATCTCGTCTTTAGTGATACAGCGGAGGTGTCAAAAGTCGTCATTAAGGGTTCAGGGGGGGGTCGTCAAATGTTGTCTTCATGGGGGAAAGAGTTAAAGCATCTATTTCCCAAACACACATTCATAGTTTCTTATTTGTATATGTTGTTTCTTACCCGAATATGAGCAGGTTCTTCTCCACTCTGAAGCACTCGGCCCTCAGGTACCTGCGGCCCCGCTCCCCCAGCCTCCTGGTCCTACACGGCCTTTCCTCGCTGTCACTGTCCAGCTCCGAGAACTCCATCAGCTCATCGTCCTCGAAGGAGTTGTAGTGACGGGTCTGCTTCCTCGCGCGGAGTGTCAATCACCAGCGACTCCTGGGCAAGAAAAAAATATATATTAACTTGAATACTACCACTACATGACATCACAAGGTGGAACGGAGCATTTTGAGCTTTGGAGATGTACACAGACTAATAATAAAAGATTACTCAGACATGTGGATGAAACAAAACACCTTCATTAGACTCATTTGGATGGTCTACTATCTACTGAATCTACTGAATTAATCGTAAAAGGTACAGTGTTGTCTTGAAAACTATTACTGAATGACATCACAAGGTGGAACAGGGCATTTTTCTCTTTGGAGATGTAGACAGATTAATAATAAAAGATTAATCAGGTGTGTGAATGAAACAAAACAAAACTCTGGGTGTGTTTTCCACAGTGTTAGTATTATTTCATTTATTTTAATTTCATTTGCATTAAGTTAATTACATCATACATAATTTAATTCCTTTATTTAGACTTATATTCTAATTTGGGTGCACACATTGTAGTTAATTTAAGTCTGAATTATTTACTTACACTTCTTGTTTGTTCATTTCATTTCATTATTTTCTGTTATTTAATTTTTAATTTTTTTTACCTTTCAGGTTTGTTTACATTATTTACATTATTTTGCCGGAGAAGTTCAGAGAATTCGGAGATTAGTGCGAATTAGCTACAACACGCAGCAGCAAGACTCTTTCTTTGCCTTGAAAATTACGTTTTCAGACTAGGATACTGAAAACGTTTGTCTAGCTCTTGGAAATAGTAAGTTTTCATAATGAAGTTTCCTTCCAGGAGTATTTGTTCAGTCTTTTGCTTGCTTTTCATTTGATCTTCAAGAATCACTTAGTTTGGCTTTGTTCTTCTTTCAGCGATCAAAAACGGACTTTCTTTTGCTAACTGCTCTGGATTTTGTCTGCATTGCAACAAACTTGTGTGAACTGCGAGGAAGATATAGGTCAAAAAAAAGAACTTTCGTTGGTGGAGTAAACAGCGTCTGTGCGGCTTGCGTCTGTACTGCGTGACAGGCGTACGTTACCGGCGGCGCGCAGGCAAGTCAGTTACGCTAGAAACGTAGGGAGATTGATTGACATCAGCTAACAGATCAGTGTCGTTATTATTGGCAAATTTAGCCCACCACGTCAGAGTTGATGAATTTTTATTCTCTTTTTTTTAGTCATCATAATTACAAGGCTACTGCACCTCTTAATGCTATCATTGTTGAAACAAAAAAAAAAAATTTACAATTAAGTTAGTAGTTTTAGTTGCGGTAATTATTTAGTGTAATTCCCCCCTCTTGTGTTCAGTTTTAGTTGGCCCTCATGTATTTAAACACCCCTGTTCTTTTTCTAGTTGGGTTAGTTTTGTTCTGTTTAGTTTGATTTAATTTACCTCAGTTGGGCCCAGCTTTTTGTTAATGATTTACTTAATTTGAGCCTTTGTTAAATTACATCTTTTTTTGACTTGATTAAATTTTAACAAATTTTTATACCTCGTCTTTGCCTTTCTGTTTGGTCCACTACAAGTACATTTTGTGTAATATAGGACATTTATAGAGCTACATTATTTTACAACTGTACATATTTATGATTATTTTTTAACTGGAAATCACTCTGTAATGATAAGTTTGAAAAGTGCTACACAAATAAATGTATTATTATTTATTGTATTATGAAGATTGGCTGTTTTTTACAGGTTTCTTCAAGTTAAATCCAAGTTTTTAACCTTTTTAAGACCATTTATGCAAAAACTTAACACATATTTCACGGCCTGTTTCATAAACCAACCAGGAAAGAAAAACAAAATTCTTGAATTTGTGTTCATTTATTTCTCAAACAAATGTGAAAATGTGGAATGTGTAAAGGATGATGGAAGAATGATGTAACCTCATTGCAACACTACAACAGCTCAGACACAGACAACAAGCCAAACAGAGGTGCAAAAAAATTAAAGAAAGTTCTGCAGACTCCAAAAAGGTCTGACTACAGGATGTTTCGGTCTTAAGCAATTTTTAAATGTGCGACAAAAAGTGCACACCACAGACACGAGGAGAATCTTATGAGACTTAAAATCTCCGACCGCAAAAACTGCAGCGGGATCGGTCTGCGGACCACAGGATATAAAATTGTGAGCGCGATCGTGTCAGCTGTTTCGTGTCTACAGTAAAACCACTCGCTTTGAGACTCTTAAGTGTTAAAACGATCAAAACACTGCACTTCTAGTTTAGATACAAGTCAAATCTTTGTTATTATGATGTGTGAAATGTGGTACAATACTTCAGATACATGATTTTTAAAGCATAAAAGCTCACAGGAAGTAGAGTCACTATCACTAATCTGAAGCTTCATCTCGATCCGTGCGCTGTGCGTGGATGTAAACAGACACACGTGAGGAACTACTCTTGCCTTTTTACTTTCAAAGAAGGCCTCAAACTAGATTAATAGCACGCAGTGTTGGGAAGGTGACTTTTAAAATGTATTCCCCTACAGATTACAGATTACATACCTCAAAATGTAGTTTGTAACGGAATCCATTAAATTAAAGTGAGTAACGTAATCTGAATACTTTGGATTACTTGATTTGCTGTAGAGAAGCAAAGATGAGGAAATCTTCACATAAGATGACACGTCCACGCAGCATGATTTAGTCCTGTTAAATCCTGGTTTAGTCCTGGTTTAGTCCTGGTTTAGACCTGGTTTAGACCTGGTTTAGACCTGGTTTAGACCTGGTTTAGACCTGGTTTAGACCTGGTTTAGACTTGGTTTTAGTCCTGGTTTAGATCTGGTTTAGATCTGGTTTAGACCTGGTTTAGATCTGGTTTAGTCCTGGTTTAGATCTGGTTTAGATCTGGTTTAGACCTGGTTTTAGATCTAGTTAATATCTAGTTTAGATCTAGTTTAGAGCTGGTTTTAGTCCTGATTTAGATCTAGTTTAGACCTAGTTTTAGTCCTGGTTTAGTCCTGGTTTTGATCTAGTTCAGACCAGGTTTAATTTCTGGCAATGAGTGGAATTGGGGGGGAAATATAGCCGAAAATGTGAAAACAGGAAAACAGGAAAATGCCACCAGGTAATCCATTTATTTCAACAAAGTAACTGTAATCCAATTACCACTCACTGAAACAGTACTCATAATTTGTACTCTGATTACATAACTCCAGTACATGTAATCCGTTACTCCCCAACACTGATGGTAGGTTTTGTGGACTGGGGCACGCTCATTGCGGGTGTGGGCGGGAGGGGGTCTGCACGACTCGGGAGTGGGCAGGTAGGATGATAAACTGCAGTCCCGCAAACTGAGTGTAAAGTAAAATATACAAACGATTCATGTAAGCCATCATACATCATTTGTGCTGGATATTTTATTTGGCATTAATAAAAACATTTTAAGCCTAAACCTCCGGACATGGTCTAATCTTGAGCAAAGTTTAGACAATTCCTTTCTGCTTCTCTGTGTTTGATAGAGTTTAAGAAAGCGAACATCCCCATCTTGCGAAGTTTAGGGGGGGAGTGGAACAAAATATCGCAGATGCGGGCGGGAGCGGGAATGAAAATGACTATTCTTTGCAGGCGCGGGCAGGAGGGGGACTGAAAATCCCGTCTCTAGATCTCTGGTTTGGCGGTTACGATCTGACAGAGCAGCTCAGAGTCACACTGACACCACGCACATGAGGAGAGGATTCAAAATTCTCCTGTAGTGTGTAGTGTGTAGCAGCCTTTACACCTTTAGGCCTTTAAGTTGTTTTTTTTAACATTGGTTACTTATTTCATGCTGGGAATACGGGAAGCAGAGAGAGTCTTTCCCGTAACCCCAGCATGAAATGGGTCGCTAGGTAATGTGAAGCCATCGTTAAAAAACACTCTGTGTTCTGCTGAGATTTTCTTTGATTTTACTCGCTTCTGTTTAGTGGTGCTGTAGCGCGTGATCTTCAGTGACACACTCGAAGTATTTTGACCTGGGGCTGTGTTGCTGGTTCTGCTGCTCTATATTTAGGCTAGATTATTTAACCAAATAACGGTGGTTGACAAATTAAACTTTTGAGGAGAAATGTGATATGGAGATATGGAGAAGTTACATACTGCAAGACTTTTTCAAAATGTTATTTCCAAATTCATAAATTCAATGCTTTTAAGGACTTTTTAATAAACAATGGGAATAGGGTCACCAGATTTTCAAAATTCAAAACTGGGACACACCCGGGTTGTGATGTTTGGTATAGATAAAATTGTGAAAAGAGCGTGTAACATTGTGGATTGAGGTTTCTGTCACTGCATTTTTTTCTGCTTTATGGTCATGAGCAAAATCATTTTTCTATATTTTGGCTAAACAAATAAATTTATGCTCCTCTTTTCTCCTGGAAGGGATCAGCTTAGTCAAAAATTGTAATAGTCCACTTTTTAGACCTGTTATAGTCCTGGTTTAGATCAAACGAGGGCTGAACGATCTATCGTTTTGGACCGAACATCGCGATCTCAGACAACACCTCGGTTTTGTGCAGTGCTCCTAACTGACCTAGGTTTTGTTTCGTAAAGTATTTCACACATGTATGCATGATCGACATCCCTGTCATAGAAAGAACAACAATATTCCACTGAGTCGGCACCTACAATGGGACTTCTGAGACAAATTATCGGACAAATCAGAGCAATGGAAACCATGACATTTGGTCTCCGCCTACAACGACACAAGGGAGAAAAACATTGGGAAAAATGGGACTGTTACATACAATCCATGAACGATTAATCGTGATATGGGAGCTGTTGATTGTACATGTAATCTTGCTTGATTGTTATAGTTTCTTCATTATTCTTTGTATGCCCTAAAACCTTCTTAAAAATAAAGTTACAAAAATATTTCACTGAGTCATGTCCTTTAGGCCTTCATCAGCGCACAAGGAGCGAGCTGTTTTTTCAGTGTAAGTTTATGCAAATGATTCATGCGGTTTTAAGTTTCATTTCTGCAAAACGTAAACAAACATGCGCAAAGCTGCATTAAACACATTATAATGTCAAACGGGCTGATGTGGCTCTGTAGTGGTTATGGTTTCTA